TTTGTACTTGAATAGTTTCTTTTTGGAACGTAAAAACTCATATTTTGTCATATCCCAACACACTCCTGCCATTGTGACAATCACCATTGGCAGCAATGGGATATGCTCTCATTCACTGTTTATTTTTGTTTTGTATTTTCATTTTTGAACACATACATACTTGTCTGACCTAGTCCTGTGGACCAAGAATCAGATCCCTGAACTTGCAAAACTTCTCACCTTGCAATGGCTTAGTCATGAAATCCGCAATCATATCGTCAGTTGGACAGTATTTGACGTTAACATTTCCTTTCTCAACTTGATCTGTGATAAAGAAATAACAAATATTGATATCTTGGCTTCTTTTGCCCGCGCTCTTGCCACCATTCTCTTCCAGTAGAATCGCGCTTTTGTTATCCTGATACAAGATGTTATTCTCGATCGGATACCCTTGCCACTCCATGAACAACTTCATCCATAGTATCATTGTGACAACATCATCAACAGCAATCAGTTCCGCTTTGGTACTGCTTCTGCTGTTTAGCTTTTGCTTCTTTGACATCACTTGAGCTGCACCTCCTCCAAAGGACAGAGTGCCGCCAGTATGGCTCTTGAAATCTGGATGCACTGCAAATGATGCGGCGATCATCCATTTCATGACTCGTAGTGATTCTGCGGAAAGTGTCAGGTGATACAACAATGTACAAAACAATTATCGCATCAAACGAACAAACTTCTTCCAATCAGACTCTGTAGGTTCTCAAACTCTCAAGGCAAGAATAGTAATTGTTGGATGCATATCCAAACAAGCTCTCTTAGAGACATAAAGTCCCCTTGCAACAGTAGTATGAAAGATCTGACAGTACTCAGCACTGAGTAACTTTCCTTTCCCAGCTTCCAGTAAATCGTTACCAGCTGGTGTTTCCTGCTTTGAATCCTTGTTGAACTTGACAGAAAAATCTTCCAACATGTTCTTGACATAGTCGTCCATGCGGATTTTGAGTTTTCCTTTCACCGAGAAATCCAAAGTCATTCCAAGATATCTGTGAGTCTTTCCTCTGACAATTTTACATGCCTGGATTGAAGCATATCTCATGTTCAACCACTCAGCATTTACTGTCTTTAGTACTGCGACTTCCTTCTTTGGTACGAATACCAGATTTTAACTTGTTCTTCAACGGTTTCAATTCTCTTTTTCGATGCTTGCGTCTTGTCGCAACTCAATTCTTGTTCTTATTGTCAGAACTGCCACTCCTGCTTGAAGGCCATTCTCTTGGTCTCTTTGGAACTTGGGAAAGGTTCAGCCCAGACATTGCAGCTTGCGCATACGTTTGCCCAGATCGAGTGACTTTTGCTTCTTGAGGCTCTTCAGGCTCAAATACAATCTCTTCTTCTGGCGGCTCTTGTAGGTCCTCCAGATCAGTAACGAGGCTTCCAATATCATCGGTTCCTCTATTGACATTTTCTTGATGGTGATCCAAATCGGCCACAATACGTTCTTCCTCTTCGCCGCCTTCATCACCCGAATCGTCGTCTGATGAGACCAGATCGGATCGGTTCGCATAATTCAGACTTTTGGTGCTTGGAGCATTGAGTATGTGCCTTGCACTTCTCGCTTCCATCGCAGCTTTGACTTGTCTTGGAGTGAATCCTTCCTTGTTCTTTCGAACGGTTGCCATCTTGGAGGTCATCTCGAGTCCAGCATATCCATTCTTTTTGTTTGAAGAAAGTTTGAAATGGGGTTGATTATTTAAGTTGCTTAACTGGCGATGGCACATCGCACTTGTCTCTTTGGCACCTGGTTCGACATTCGCTCCAAGTTGCTCCAACACATACACACCCTTACGATTCACAAATCGCATCTTTCGGTTTTCATCACAATGCACAATAAAAGCATTGTCAGCATCAGTATCCATAGTAATGCGGTATCCTGCAGCAATCATCTCACGCACAGCAAGTACATTGGCAATTTTGTATTCATCATAATAGACTGGAGGCGGAAATCTTCCTAGAAAACCTTCTTTGTCGAGAACTCTGCTGCCCACGTTAGTGTGCATGTCAAGTTCTTTCTCAGCATGACGGTGACAGAATTCTAACAGGAACGGGACTTGTGACTCTACCTATAGGATTCCCAGGTTGAAGTGTAGCTTGTACGTCGCACGCTTTGCACGTGCACGAACCACTGCACACCATTAATTTGGCGTAGAGTTTGCGATAATTCTAGAGATGGATCATCGCTTTTCTCACTGCATGCTTTTTACTTGAATTGATAACGATCAACTTGTAGAAACTGGTCAACTATAGGCTTATAGCAAAGAACTTTTGATTCGCTTCCCAGAAATCCAAGAAATCATACTCAGCATCAGCACTCTTCTTCATGAATGGTTCAATACATTTCAAGAGTTTGATCGGATCTTCAAGAGTAGTCGTGAAATTGGCTTCACCTCGAAGCTTGATATCCATTGCCTTTGTCACAAACTTCAGCATGATGTTTGATTTAAAGGTTCTCTTGTTCGTCTCAAAGTAGGCTGATCTTTGCATGTTCTTGCCGAGCTTTGCAGAATAAAGAATCTTGTTTTGGGCCATCTCTGTTTCTCGTGCAACAGCTTCAGTTTGAGTTGGAGCGTTCAATCTTGGAGCAATTGCATTGAAGTCGATCGACTTTCCATCTCGAATTGATTTCACCATGTCTTCTGAACATTTCATTCCAGAAGCTTGGATGTAGTCAATGACTCTTTCTTTGGCATCTTCGTACGACGATCTTGCCTTTCCATCGTTTTCATCTTTTGTTGAAAATAGATGTTTCACAACTGTTGAACTCGAATTGCTCTTGACTTTCTGAGGAGTCACACGTCCTCTTCCACCACCGAATGAAGAACGTCCCATTGTCAACGAATCACTCACTTTTTTGTAGATAAGGCAGTGCTGTTCTTGGCGTAAATTTGTTTTGTTGCCTTTTGTGATTGAATGTTAGAATAGAGAAATGATGCTGACTGATACGACTAAAAATGAAGACTGATACGACTAGAAATATTGTGCATGGCGAGTCAGAAAAGACAATTTATTTCTATGGAGATCATCATGTTGATGATGTAAGAAAGCAAGATTCAAGCAAGAACGAAAGTTGGATACAATCAAAGTACCGACTGCAGTGGAAGATGAACAGATAAACAGATTGAACTTGCAGCATGTCAGGCTGATATAGAGAGGATTCTGAGAATTTCCACAGAGCTGGAGATGAAAGAGTCAAAGTCAAAAGTTGACAGACTGTTCTAACTTTTTATAATATATTGCAAGCAACGAGTGAATTGGTTGATAAAGTAGGATCTCTGATAGATCTATATACTTCTATATACTGTAAATTCATATACTTAGAAGGCAACAATACCTGGACAGCTAAATCGCAGTCAATTGAACAGGTAGATTGCAGGCGGCAGTGGATTGCTTACTTCTAACAACATATGTTAGCTCCATTTACTGAACTAATCAAATCAAGCAAAAGGCATTTCCACCTCTCTTGCGACTGTTTTTGGATTCTCAGCCGGGTGACCACAATGATTTCCCAGAGGGAGGAGAGGAAGAGGTACTCAGTGATGTATCCATTGAAGATAACGACAGCGTGTCTCTTGAGCTTGACTATTGCCCAATTATCTCAGACATGACTCTAAAGCCATCAAACAGTCTCCCAACGAACACTTATTTTATCCATCCATCACCCGGTCAAACAAACTTTCCAAGGCAGAGTTCAATCAACAAACATCCCCATCCACCAAACTGCTAGCAACAATTTGCCTGCCGGTACCTGGTATCAAAGTTCGTCCCACCCAACAACTTTTTACCAAGCCCATCAAGTTACACTATTGTCACAACAGAAGAGTTTCATGGGATGGACCCCACAAGAGGAGAATGTTGAACACTTTGCTGCAGCAAGCCTTGTTGTCTATTTTATCAAAATACTGCCAGAGTTGCGATCAAAGTCTGAATGAGGCCTCGACTCAATCATGCCACAATCAACCTCTGTTGGTCAAACCGTCCCGTTTTCTTCCCCTCCCAGCTTTCAGGTCCCCTGAGGGTCCTGCATGCAAAGAAGATCAAGCTCTTGTCTATTGCTCAACCAATTCAGGCTGGAGGATCGCCTAATTTGCCTTTGATGCGAAGGTTTTTGGATTTTCATTGTGGTTGCCATAGATTTCCTAGCTTTCTTCAATCAGCTCCAGTGGCCGCCATGACAGCAAACACCCACTTCACAACACACCAACCACTTCTTTGGATCCTGATGGATGAAGCTGTCCAGAAGTTGCCCATAAATTCTATTTAGATCTAGATCTAGATCCAGAAATTAGGTGGCAGCTCTGAAAAGCTTCAAGTTTGATGAAAATTCTGAAATAGCCCACCTATTGTTATAACTTCATTCAATTTCTGTAGTCTATATTATATTTGTCACCAATATTGGTGTCTAAGAATGCTGGTTTGGCTGGAACGGGAGAATTCTACGTGGAAATGCTCCAAGAACCGAATTCACTTGAGGTGGACTCAAAGAGATTCTTGGCTACATCCGGAATGTTTGCCAAGTGTGTGCGGCTGAAACATTTTTACTGATACCTATACCAACGTATCAACCTTGCCAGGAACATCAATGAACAACAAATAGTAGTTTGTATAAAGCAATGCAAAGCAATTTGGTCAACAATTTGGCCAGATCACCCCAGATCATGCTTTGGGGCAACAAACTTACATCTTATTCAAACTTCCCATTTGCTTTGGAGCCAAAACGGAGCAAACTTCTAATATGACCAAACCAACTCATCATAGTGGTCAGCATTTATATGCCAAAGGTCGAATTCTTCTTCCGCTAACGACGTACTTGCTCAAAATATATGCACAGAAGAGATTGGTGTATTGTTTTTTTGTTGTTGCGGCTTTCTGGGTCCACCCCAAGAGCAACAGATTCTGGTGATAGGGCTTGAGTTCGAATTCGGCACCAGACAATGCCATCAGGCATCGTCTTCCTGCATCTAGGGACGTCTTCACATACAAAGTTGATGAACTTCTGACAAACAAAGTCATCCTTAGACCAACACATAGTTTTTGTTACAATTGTCATCGCAGTAGAAAATTTTTGTTGTGCACCATTTGTTGTTGTTTGGCTTCCACATTGCAAGTTGGCGCAATGGGAACAGTCGGTTGTTGTGCCAGTCCATTGTTGCGCAAACTGTAGTTGATTGTCATGTTGGTGTTGTTTCTGTTGTTATTTCGGCTGGAACGCACCACAACGTGCAACGCACGCAATTTAAATGTCCGTTAATAGTTTAAAATGGTTTTATTGGAAAACGTTAAGTGTCCGTTTCCATTTTAGCGCGGGCGCACTATGAAAATCGGGCATGCCCCGTGCGTCAATTTGACGCAGAAACGGGCACGCCCCGCGTCAAATTAACGCAAATCTGCGTCAAATTAACGCAAATCTGCGTCAAATTAACGCAAATCTGCGTCAAATTAACACAAATCTGCGTCAAATTGACGCAAATGTTTGCGTCAAAATGACGCGTGACGCACGAAACTGCGTCAAATTGACGCAAGTTGCGTCAATCCCGCGTCAAACTCAAGAAATTGCATCAATCCCGCGTCAAACAGATACAGTTGTGTCAATCCCGCGTCAAACTCAAGGGAGACTAGAAACACAATGTTATAAGAGCACAGTTCAGGTTCTGACATCAGCTACTTCATTATGCTATGAGCTACAGTTCTGGATTTGTTTATCAAGAGTACTTGGCTTCATATCCCAAAATTTCGCAGTTCCAAGCTCTAAACCAATTTGGATTGATTCCAGGACAGCACCTAGTACTGCAAGTGTATGCTTATCATAGTTATGGATCCAAATACCTTGCAATGATTGGAACTTCTTCATCTTGCAAAAGACACATACTACGTTGTTTTTGGTGTTCAACAAGAATGCTGGATGCAATAAGTCCTTAAACAATTGAGACAACAAGGAGAGCAGAAAGATGATCCTGAAAGGAATAGGAGACATTGCCAGATCCCTGGCCAAGTATGCCAAATCCATTCTCAAATATGTTTTCTATAAGATTTTTGAGCAGTACTATATCTGGGGGATTCCGTTGATGAGCAAGACAGGGATATCTGTTGGTGAATTTCATCAAGGGCTTCAAACTCCTCATTCATAAGGTTGTTGCTTCTTGCTTGGAAAATAGCATCATTGCCATTATGTGCCCCAGCTTTGTCAATTTCCATCAGATCTATTGTTCAAAAAATGGGCAACTCTCATTGGAATGAGAGTGGGAACTCAAACTCTCATTCATTCACACACTCCAATCTTTTTGGAACTGATACCAGTACGCGGGTTTTGTCCCCACGCATCAAAGACACGCAGGCCCGCGTTAAATTGACGCAACCCGCGTTGGTTTGACGCAGAATCGGCGTTAAACTGACGCAACTCTGCGTAAAACTTACGCAACTCCGCGTCAAACTAACGCAACTCCGCGTAAAACTAAGGCAACTCGCGTCTTTCCCACGTCAAAAGAAACGTCCCGTGTCAAAGTCGCAGAGCATTTTAACGGACACATAAATATTATGTAGAGCTAAAAAAATCCTCAAAACAATCTAAAGGCACAGATTTCGGGCGTGCGTTTGACGTTGTGGTGCGTCCCTGTGTGGACTGGGATGCAGGATCTGCCATACATTTGGACCGGAAGCCTATCAAAAAGTTTCTCCGGATTTGGATTTAGGATCTGCCATATGTTTGCACCGGAAGCCTAGAGGCTCCGTCCAAATGTACCATGATTCTGCGCGTAGAATTCTACACGGTCAGAAGTGATCAGCAAAATGGTTCTCAAAATGTTTCTCCGATGAGCCCCGGACATAACCACAAACAACAAAACTGCAAGCAGATGACATCACTGGTGAAGAATTTGACAGCAAATGCAACTGAATAGATTACAATTGGCAAAATGAGGTAAGCTCATCAACGAGCAAATTCTCACAGTACTATGATGCCATTTGATGATTGTATGACATCAACAAGAACAGGAGATTTTGCATTTTCATATATCCTTTTTCCTGCAGGTGACGCCTTTGCCAATTTTTCTTTGCTGGTTATGGTAATTGTGAAGTTGGGATTCATTTGTTGAGACATGTCTCTCAATCAGGATCCCATTAAGAGTTACAAGTTTGTTAGTGTAGCTCCCTGCAAATCTACCAGGATCCTACTCAGTAGAAATAACGTAGATTGGACAAGTCTATAATAGTTTTGAGTCATTATGTTAAGTAAGCAATATGTTAAGTAAGGCTGTTAGTAATAGCAGGGCAAAAATCGCGCCAGGATGGATTCAAGCCCCCACCCTCTGGTACATTTCTACAGAATCACGCCTTCCTCCACCCTCCTCAAGCCCAATGCTACATGTAGTTACTACTAGTGCCAAGTACATTTCCACTGAATCCAGCCTTGTCAGGGCAAAGATTTCACAGCGCACACATAATAAAAAAACTTTGAGTGTTTGAAAACGAGACAAGGAGCAAGAAGGCACCAAGCAAGGGGAAGGGCAATGAGACCAAGAAGAAGGCAGCTTCAAACCGTGCAGCACTAGCAAAGCCCCCACCCAATCAGAACGTCATTGTTGAACATTGGAGAAACAACAGCATGCTTTGTTTATTTGCCAACAAATGAAGGGGAGTCTCGGAGACAGGAAAAGGTATGACAATAGTTCATGTGTGAGCAGTGATGAGGACCATGAGCACAAAGGGGGTGAGTATTCATGTTTTGTGCTACTGTTGTGTAACGACAAGCCTTGATCTCACCTGCTTCTTTTGTCACTAAATATTATGGTGAAAGATGCCAATTTGGGTTGAGTATGCTTTGTTTATTTGCCAACATATGAAGGGGAGTCTTGGAGACAGGAAAAGGTGTATGACAATAATTCAAGTGTGAGCTGTGATGAGGACCGTGAACACAAAGAGGATGAGTATTCATGTTTTGGCGCTACTGTTGTGTGACAAGAGCCTTGATCTCACCTGCTTCTTTTGTCATTAAATATTGTGGTGATGCAAGATGTCAATTTGTGTTGAGCAATGCTTTCAATGTCACGGATGAAGCATTTGCACTTTTGATGGTGGAAAACTATGTGGACAGATGGAAGGCACTGGCCAAAGAATGGCCCAGCAGTAACACCACTAACTGAACCACAAACGCTCTGGACAAAAGCGCAAGAAGGCAAGGCAACAAATTGTAACAATATATCAGGATGATGGCAAATAGATTCCTGAAAAGTAGATAGAACAAGTATTATTTAGTTGATATTAATATATTGTCATAGTGATACTTCAATTGTTGTAGTGATCACATTAACACTTTGGGCATGTGACAATAGATGATGCTGGCAATGCAAAAATGACAGGGTGAAGGTGGTATGGTTGATGGTGGCTAGACCCTGTCCCAAAATGACAAATAGTAGGTGATTTTTTCGCATGGCAAAGGTGACATTAGCACAGAGGCAAAATAAATATGAAAAGGTTCCAGTCGAATGGCTGCAAAAAAATCACATGGCCACGTGACAAAAGCAGACCGAGCCGTGTCATAATGTGACATGAGCAAGCCAACCAATAGGACCAGACTTTCTCTTCCGATGGACTTCCACCTCGGTGGAGTGATTTCCTAAGAAGGAAAACCTATTGCTTTCTACAGCAGAAAATTGAATCCTGCACAAAGGAACTACACAAGTGGAGAACGCGAAATGTTGTCAATTGTTGAAACATTACGCGAATACCGCAACATTTTGCTTGGTCGCAAAATTATCGTATATACCGACCACAAAAATCATACAGACCCGAGAACCATTTCTCAATCCCCAAGAATCCAACAATGGAGATGGATCATTGAAGAATTTGGGCCAGACAAAGACATATTGATGGATCTGCCAATGTGGTCGCCGATTGCTTAAGTTGTATGGATGCAGACTTCACAAAAAAACTGGCTGAAAGGTTTGACATGGACTCGCTGGAAGGTTATAAGGAGGAGAAATATCAATTTCCCCTCAACACCGGTCTAATCGCAGAGTATCAAAAGAAACAAGATAAAACTCTAATGCGACATTTACAAAACCATCCAGAATACTTTCCCAAAGAGGTGCATGACACCAAAATAATCTTATTCCACAAACAGATTTATGTTCCTAAGCCACTACAACAGCATGTTCTACAGTGGTATCATGACATGTTACAGCACCCTGGCGGAACACAAACTGAACGAACCATTTGCCAACACCTAACTTGGCCATGTCTACGACACAACATTGAGACTCACGTAAAGCATTGCCGCAAATGCCAACTATGTAAAAATCCAAAACTTAAATACGGCAAACTGCCAGTGAAAGAATTTACCTATAAGCCTTGGAACACCATTTGTGTTGACCTTATCCTTACACCGTATCTACAAAAGACGGGAAAGATATCAAACTACACGCCATGACGATTTGTGATCCAGCAACTGGATGGTTTCGAGATTGTAGAAATTGATGACAAAAAGTCACTAACTACATCAACGATGCTCGACCGCGTATGGTTCTCACGATATCCAAGACCTCAAGAATGCATTTTTGACAATGGCAAAGAATTCCTTGGCAAAGAATTCCAAGAACTACTAAAACGTTATGGAATCAAACCGGTCCCTACAACAGTCAAGAACCCTCAAGCTAATTATGTAGAACGAATCAACCAAACGCTCGGAAACATGCTCCATACAAACGAATTAGAGGAATTTGACTTCGATTATAATGATCCTTGGACCCAAATCTTAAGCAACTGCGCTTGGGCTATTTGCTCCACTATCCATACTGTCATGGAAGCGACACCCGCTCAACTAGTCTTAGGTCGTGATATGCTTTTCTACCTGACATTTAAAACAAAATGGTGCGATATTAAAAGCAAACGTCAACAAGCCGCAAATAAGAATAACACACAAGAAAACTCCAAACGCCAGCCACACAAATACCGCGTGGGTGATTTGGTCCTCCTTGATCACGGCAAATTGCAACAAAAACTCCTGCCCAAACGAACAGGTCCATATCAAGTACTCCGTGTCTACAACAATGGCACAATCAAACTACAACGTGTCTTCTATGCACAACGGGTAAGTCTCTGACAATGAGTCCCTTACTATACCCCCATCAACGCTTGATTCCACCATGGAAGCGAATGACATACTCTCTACAGACCGTTGGTCATCCGGCCAGACTTCCAATGTACTCCCGGCAGACGCTGCATCTTACGCTCTTTTCAACAGACGCTTTTGTTATACTCCTATTGGTTACTCAATATTCCAGGCCTAACTATTATTGGCCCATCTAAGTACTCTGATCGTTACTAAATATTTCAGCACCGTTACTGAATATTTCAGGCCAAAGAAAATGGTGCGATATTAAAAGCAAACGTCAACAAGCCGCAAATAAGAATAACACACAAGAAAACTCCAAACGCCAGCCACACAAATACCGCGTGGGTGATTTGGTCCTCCTTGATCACGGCAAATTGCAACAAAAACTCCTGCCCAAACGAACAGGTCCATATCAAGTACTCCGTGTCTACAACAATGGCACAATCAAACTACAACGTGTCTTCTATGCACAACGGGTAAGTCTCTGACAATGAGTCCCTTACTATACCCCCATCAACGCTTGATTCCACCATGGAAGCGAATGACATACTCTCTACAGACCGTTGGTCATCCGGCCAGACTTCCAATGTACTCCCGGCAGACGCTGCATCTTACGCTCTTTTCAACAGACGCTTTTGTTATACTCCTATTGGTTACTCAATATTCCAGGCCTAACTATTATTGGCCCATCTAAGTACTCTGATCGTTACTAAATATTTCAGCACCGTTACTGAATATTTCAGGCCAAAGAAAATGGTGCGATATTAAAAGCAAACGTCAACAAGCCGCAAATAAGAATAACACACAAGAAAACTCCAAACGCCAGCCACACAAATACCGCGTGGGTGATTTGGTCCTCCTTGATCACGGCAAATTGCAACAAAAACTCCTGCCCAAACGAACAGGTCCATATCAAGTACTCCGTGTCTACAACAATGGCACAATCAAACTACAACGTGTCTTCTATGCACAACGGGTAAGTCTCTGACAATGAGTCCCTTACTATACCCCCATCAACGCTTGATTCCACCATGGAAGCGAATGACATACTCTCTACAGACCGTTGGTCATCCGGCCAGACTTCCAATGTACTCCCGGCAGACGCTGCATCTTACGCTCTTTTCAACAGACGCTTTTGTTATACTCCTATTGGTTACTCAATATTCCAGGCCTAACTATTATTGGCCCATCTAAGTACTCCGATCGTTACTAAATATTTCAGCACCGTTACTGAATATTTCAGGCCAAAGAACACATCCCTTGGCCAAACCAAGACTAGGTAGCGCACCTAAAAAACACTATTCTAATGCTCACAATTTCATTATCAACTGATATCAAATCCCTTTGATCTAGGTTAAGTCAGATTATCTGGACCTGAAGCATTAATAGGCTTGTTGTTTGGGTAGAAACATAAAGGGGAAATCGCAAGGCTTGATTTACTGCATGTGTATGCAGTGACACAATAATCAACATTAGTTGGGAAAGATTGAATCCCAACTATGGGCTCTGTTGTGACAAAAAGAATCTTTCTTCAGGCCAGCGTTTTGAATGAAGCTTTCTACTATCGAATAGAAAAGACCCATGCAGAGTTCTTTTTCATATTTTTATTCTGATGAGAGAATAGAATACAATAAATGAGGACTCAATTCTGCCAATGTGGGGACGACAATGACTTCATTCAAACAATTACAAGCGACACTCAAAACTGAAGACAAAAATAATAGTCAAAAGAGAATCTAGCTAGAAGCTCCAACAATAAGTTTCTACCATGTATGTTTCTACACCTCATGTAGCGCTAGTCAATTCTGGTTTGCCAATATACTGCTGCGTTCTCTAGGAAGGCTAGAACTTATTCAACCCAAGCTGCAGTGATTTGGTTAGGTTGGTCCATTCTGGAAAAGCGGGTTTGTGGATCAGAACGCAAATGGCTGGTATGGATTGTTTCTAATGATCCAGGACCATCCAATCTACCACTAGAACTGGATCTGCCTGATTATGATTCAGCGCTCTGGTGTTTGGCGAGTCTCTCATATCCCCTGAAACTCTCCCCTCATATATTTTGATTAGCTTTTTGAAAAAAATAGGTTCACATGTATTTAAAATACACGTACGTAGAAGCTGGTAGTCGTGAGCTGACTTGCAAACCCCATTTATCCCATATGTGCCTTTCTCTCCCCCCCTCAAGACAGCTGGAAAAATTATGATTCCCATGATGAATTTCTGGGCACAGAATCGTCGTCTCGGTGTTCTTTTCACAGTACTGATTATCTGGATTTATCAAAGCATATTTCAGAAAATATATATGAAAAACGAAAAGACAATGTTCAGACTCAGGAATGACGAACGAATCATTTACAGTCCTTCTCGATTAGAAAACTCAATAAGGCAACGGGGTCGTTCGGAATTTCATTTTGACGCTGAAGGTGCTGACGAGTGTATCATTTATATGTACCAGAACAACTCTGATATGTACTATCAATATCACGGCTACCTTCAAATGCTGGAAAAATATTCAATTGCAGTGAGGAACTATGGTGTAGGTGTGCTTGACATTCGTGAGTTAGATAAAAAGAAGCTTCAAAATGTCTGCATGTCAATAGATGCTGTCTTGAAGGATGCTTTTAATCTTGAATCTCTGTCGTCGACCATTGGTGGGTACCTGGAACCTTTGCTGCCACCCCTTCGGCATCCTCGTATCTGCAAGTCCAGACGGAGTCGAAAAAGTTTTTTACTAAATATCGAGTATCTTGTTCACGACTTTGGTGCGATATGCCGCAATTTGGAAAAAACATCCAGAACGGTGTTTCTTGACTTGGGCGCCTCGCTTGAATTTCATGGCGGAACAGAGAATCCAGCATTCTCGCTGATTGACTTGTATTCGAAATTTGGGATCAAGTTTGACCACTATTATGCGTATGAATATACTTTGATCCCTCCTAACAGAATGTACGAGTCTGTCCCTCAAGAGCTCTTGCCCTCCTACCATTGGTACAATGTCCCTGTTGAAGAGCTGGAAACCAGCAAACGCAATCCTTGGAAATCCATTCTATCTGCCTACAATGAAAATGACTTGGTTATAGTCAAACTGGATATCGACTCACCAGAGATTGAACTTCCTCTCGTTCATCAACTAATGCAAGGAAACTATTCGAGGGTCGTAGATCACCTGTACTTTGAGCACCATGTGAAAATGGGAAGGATGATGTACAATAGTTGGGGCAAAAATTCCCAAGGGACTCTCCAAGATTCACTTGAGTTATTTACTCGACTACGTGAGAAAGGAATTTCAGCACACTCATGGGTATAAGGCCGATCGTAACCGTGCTCATGTAAAACGCGATGCGATTGCTCGGTTCCTTCTCAATCGCTATGGATTCGCAGATTCCGATGAGTTTCCAAATTTTTTTTTTTTGGCTGACAGTTCTTACTAGCTGTTGGGCTGTTGTCATCTTGCAGCACCATGTGTGAAACTATCATCGTGTTGTAGAGCCCCTTCATTGCAATCCTATTGGTTTCACCTCTTTTCTTCATTCTTTCTTTCTTCTTCCTCTCTTCTTTCTCCCCGGGGATCTAGTATAAACTGCTCCACCAGCATAAAATAAAAACCCCATCAGACGGAAGGCCCAATGGGTAACTCCGACCAGTCTGATGGGTTTTATGATGAATATGGTGATGCTAAATAATTTTCTCTGGGACTCTTTGTATACGTTGAAATTATTGTGAAAGCTGTTTTGTCGAAGTGGCCAAGAGAGTATAGCTACCGTATCTGACTTAACCTAGATCAAAGGGATTTGATATCAGTTGAAAATGAAATTGTGAGCATTAGAATAGTGATTTTAGGTGCGCTATCTAGTCTTGGTTTGGCCAAGCTTTGGCCCGAAATATTCAGTAACGGTGCTGAAATATTCAGTAACGATCAAAGTACTTAGGAGGGTCAATAATAGTTAGGCTTGGAATATTGAGTAACCGATAGGAGTATAACAAAAGTGTCTGTTGAAAAGAGCGTAAGATGCAGCGTCTGACTGGAGTACATTGGAGGTCTGGCCGGATGACCAACGGTCTGTAGAGAGTACGTCATTCGCTTCCATGGTGGAATCAAGCGGTGATGGGGGTGTAGTAAGGAACGCATCGTCGGAGACTTACCCGTTGTGCATGGAAGACACGTCGTAGTTTGATTGTGCCATTGTCGTAGACACGGAGTACTTGATATGGACCTGTTTGTTTGGGCAGGAGTTTTTGTTGCAATTTGCCGTGATCAAGGAGGACCAAATCACCCACGCGGTATTTGTGTGGCTGGCGTTTGGAGTTTTCTTGTGTGTTATTCTTATTTGCGGCATGTTGATGTTTGCTTTTAATATCGCACCATTTTGTTTTAAATGTCAGGTAGAAAAGCATATCACGACCTAAGACTAGTTGAGCGGGTGTCGCTTCCATGACAGTATGGATAGTGGAGCGAATAGCCCAAGCGCAGTTGCTTAAGATTTGGGTCCAAGGATCATTATAATCGAAGTCAAATTCCTCTAATTCGTTTGTACGGAGCATGTTTCCGAGCGTTTGGTGGATCCGTTCCACATAATTAGCTTGAGGGTTCTTGACTGTTGTAGGGACCGGTTTGATTCCATAACTTTTTAGTAGTTCTTGGAATTCTTCGCCAAGGAATTCTTTACCATTGTCGAAAATGCATTCTTGAGGTCTTGGATATCGTGAGAACCATACGCGGTCGAGCATCGTTGATGTAGTAAGTGACTTTTTGTCATCAATTTCTACAATTTCGAACCATCCAGTCGCTGGATCACAAATCGTCATGGCGTGTAGTTTGATATCTTTTCCGTCTTTTGTAGATACGGTGTAAGGACCGATAAGATCGACACAAATGGTGTTCCAAGGCTTATAGGTAAATTCTTTTACTGGCAGTTTGCCGTATTTAAGTTTTGGATTTTTACATAGTTGGCATTTACGGCAATGCTTTACGTGAGTCTCGACGTCGTGTCGCAGACCTGGCCAAGTTAGGTGTTGGCGAATGGTTCGTTCAGTTCGTGTTACGCCAGGGTGCTGTAACATGTCATGATACCACTGTAGAACATGCTGTTGTAGTGGCTTAGGAACATAAATCTGTTTGTGGAATAAGATTATTTTGGTGCCATGCACCTCTTTGGAAAAGTATTCTGGATGGTTTTGTAAATGTCGCATTAGAGTTTTATCTTGTTTCTTTTGATACTCTGCGATTAGACCGGTGTCGAGGGGGAATTGATATTTCTCCTCCTTATAACCTTCCAGCGAGTCCATGTCGAACCTTTCAGCTAGTTGGACTTCGTCGAATTCGTCATATTTCGTCCTGAAGTCTGCGTCCATACGACTTAAGCAATCGGCGACCGCATTGGCAGATCCATCGATATGTCTTATGTCTGGCCCGAATTCTTCAATGATCCATCTCCATCGTTGGATTCTTGGGGATTGAGAAATGGTTTTCGGGTCTGTATGATTTTTGTGGTCGGTATATACTATAATTTTGCGACCAAGCAAGATGTTGCGGCTTTCGCGTTCTCCTGTTGTGTAGTTCCTTTGCGTAGGATTTAATTTTCTGCTATAGAAAGCAATAGGTTTTCCTTCTTGGGAAATCACTCCACCAAGCTGGAAGTCGCTAGCATCAGTGTGTATTGTGAAAGGTTTGGAGAAATCAGGGAATGCAAGCATAGTGTCTTTTGCAATCACTCGTTTCACATGTTCGAACGCTTCTGTGTGTTCTTGTTTCCATATTAATGGACGTCCTTTTTTGCTTGATTTGATTAGTTCAGTAAATGGAGCTAACATATGTGAGCGCTTTTCCCACATATCACGGTAATAATTGAGCATGCCAAGGAATGAGCGTAATTGTTTCAAAGTTTTTGGGGGTTTCAACCGCTGAATCGCTTCCACTTTCGAAGCAATAGGGCGAATGCCTTGGCGTGAAACCAAGTAGCCTAAGTATTTAAATTGTTGAGTTGCGAACTCAGATTTGGGTAAATTAACCTTAAGGCCGGCTTTGTGGAGCCGTTGGAGACATAGTTCTAGTCGTTGAAGGTGGTCTTCGAAGTCACCTTTGGTGACACAGAGGACGTCGTCTAAGTACGTTAAGACGTCGCCGAGGCCTTCCATGAGGCGATTCATAGCTTCTTGAAAAATGTAAGCTGAGGGCATTGCGCCCATGGGCAGTTTTTGGTAACTATATTTGCCCCAGGGTAAGATGATAGTACAGAGCTTAGATGACTCGGGAGTAATACGGACGTTCCAATATCCCATGTTCAAGTCAATGGCGGAGGCATAAGTAAATCCGCTGATATCCGTAAGTAAATCGGAAATTTTCGGAAGTGGGTATACTCGTTTTTGGAGCATTGAGTTTAAGACTCGAAAGTCCGTGACAAGACGGCATTGTCCGTTCGCTTTGGGGACAATAAATGAAGGAGCGCTCCATTCGCTGGAAGTGTCCTTTTTGAGAACGCCAATGCGAACTAAACGATCAATTTCTTTGCGGATCGTGTCTCTATGTATGAGTGGAATCGGCATAGGTTTTGCGTGGAATGGTTTACTTCCTGGTTTCAGTTTGAAGTCAACTGGCGGAATGTTCCACGTGCCTAAAGTGCCGTCAAATAATTCTTCATATTTATAGAGCAAACTTTTCAACGCGGTTTTCTCGTGCGCTGATAAATGATTCATTTGTTCAACGTCCGCGTTAATATCTGCCTTTTCGTATTTAGCGTCCAGAAGTTTAGACGCGCCAAATAGTTCTTCTTCTTGTTCTATTTCCATGATCTCTTCAAACATGTTTTGAAGTTCGTCTTCGTTTTCATCAGAACGTTCTGTGTAACCTTTCATGGGAACTGAGATTCCGTCCCACATTAGTGATTGTTTGGACCAAAGGATGTCAATGCCTAGTGAGTTTTGTAGATCACGTCCAATGATCATGTCGTAGCTAGAGTATGAACTTTCGTCCACATGCATTGGGAAGGTTATTTCACGACTTGAGGTGAACTCTGGAATGCAGAATGTGACGTTACATTTAGACTTGGTTGTAAAAGTACCAGCGTTAGTCGACCAAATTGTCTCTTTTGCTACATGATTTTTGCTATACATTGAGTCTGGAATGACATTTCGTTTGATGATTGTTTTGGAGCAGCCAGTGTCAATCAATACATGTAATACTTTAATTTTGTTACTCTCACTACTCTTAAAATCGTGACCTTTACTGTCGTAGTAAGATCGGAGATAGAGCGGTTGTCAGTGAGTTTTGGATTTCTTGTTTTGGCATTTAAAATTGCAAATAGTTGACTTATGTTGTCAGCCTTGGCAAGGGCTTGTTCCTTTGCGTTTTTCTTGGTCTTCTTAGGAGACTTAGGATTTCGTTTCTTTTTAGGAATCGGTTTTTCCATAACTAGTTTAACGTCGTCGTCGTTGTCGTCGATATTTAGGAACTCGGCGAGCGCTTCGTCACATAGTGAGGCCATTTCTTTAGCGTTGGAATCGCCTTCGTTGAACTTTTTTTGGAGATTTCTTTCTTGGACATACAAAAGCCGAAACGAGTAGTCACGTCGTTCTCGTTTTCTACGCCCATTGGTTCAATGTTGTGTTTTTCTTCTTTGTTGTTAGCAAGATCTTTCTTCTTGTTGTTGCATTGGTCTTCAGTGTGACCATAGAATGTGAAACCTTTCTTCTTGGTGCAATAGTCACAAATTTTCTTTTTGTTTGGGCCGTTTTTACGGTCCTTTTTGAAATTGCGGTGTTCCGTCATTTTCTTCGTAACTGTTGTTTTCGTTGGAATGGACTTGTTTCCGAGAAACCAATGGTTTGGAGACAAGTCAAATAGTTGATAAGATCGATGTTCGTTTTGTTAGGATCGTCCCAACGGTAGTCACCTCTCGTCATATCATTCTCGACACTTCTTGGTAAACATTGGATCAAGATTTCACGTCGATGTTCTGGTGTTGGTGTTGTACCAGTTCCAGGGAGATGTTGGTAGCATCGGAACATAAAAAGTAGTCTGTTCCAGAAGACTCAGATCGACATATTCTTGGGCAATCTCAAAGCTTTGTTGATGAAGCGACGTTGCTTCTGACGAGCATCCGAAGTGCAGTAGCAGAGGGCAAAACTTTCCATTGCTGTGTCGAAACCCTGTTGGGTCGTTTGCTGATCGTCTGGAAGTTGAGAGACCGCTGTTTGCCAATTCTCCTTTGCTTGACCGGAGAGAATAGATAGAATCGTGTGGTGTTTTCCAGGAGCATTCAGGGCTTGTCCGACTTCGAGTTCGTTCCAAGTAAATCTGAATTGACAGTAGTCTTCCACTGTATCACCATCCCAAGGTGTGAATTCCTTTTCGTAGGTTGGTGTTGCGTTTTGAGGGTTGCGTCGGATCTTTTGTTTGATTTTGGCTTCGGCTTCATGGTCCCATTTGGATACTTCCTTGTAAAGAGGAATTGGAGCATGGTGCTTTGGGTTCTGGTCCAAGGCAGTACCGTTGATGATAACTTTCATGATGTTGAGTAAGTTTGGTTTAGTTCGTGGACTGTAAAAGGGATGATCAATAGATCTTCGCGAAGTGAATTCACTATGACTTAACCTAGATCAAAGGGATTTGATATCAGTTGAAAATGAAATTGTGAGCATTAGAATAGTGATTTTAGGTGCACTATCTAGTCTTGGTTTGGCCAAGCTTTGGCCCGAAATATTCAGTAACGGTGCTGAAATATTCAGTAACGATCAAAGTACTTAGGAGGGTCAATAATAGTTAGGCTTGGAATATTGAGTAACCGATAGGAGTATAACAAAAGTGTCTGTTGAAAGAGCGAAGTACGTTGGAGGTCTGGCCGGATGACCAACGGTCTGTAGAGAGTACGTCAGTATCGGTGAAATAGCGTCATTTGTGAGATTTATCATTAGCTAAGCCGCTGCTCTCAACGGGTCTGCAGTGGTGTAACGATAGAACATCCATGCGCATCGCAACAATCGGCGCATAGTGACCACCTGCCGAGATGCCTTTAATGGAGCAGCAATAGGCTGATGCAGGACATTGCCCTCTCATTTTTCTGTACCTGAAACAGTTGGTTATCTTGCGCAGCGACGCCTGGCGGTCAACTAGAATCCAACTGTTTCCGAGCTGTTGCGCTGCCTTTTTTACAAATCTTGCTCCACTTTCAATCAGTGATGTGTAGATTTGTTCCGTCAATAGATGCTTCCCATTGGAGTTGAGCAAATGATAGTGATCTTTATGGCTATCTATCATGGCTCTCATCCTTTCATTTCCGGGGTGCAACTGCCATCGACGACCCCTTCCGAAAACAATATCTTTCTTTCGAAGCTTTTTTATTTGCTGGCAGAGGGGAACGAGTAGGTTCTCAGTCTCGTCGTGCATCTCGTTCATAGACGCATAGAAGTTCGAAGTAGTATTTCTTCTCGTGATTTTTTCTGCAAAGTGGTGCGGTTTGGTGTTCAGGCAGGACCCCGCGACACTGTCCTTCATTCGTCCGTTTAGGGGAGGGGGGATGGTGCTGTTTTTCATTCAGGGGAACACTTTTACAAGCTATATGGGGACGCTGTAAACACCGGGATTTTATCTCCTCAGCAAAATGAAGTTGACCAATCCTACGGATTGGCAGGCGCCGCCCACTTCATGACTCATCAATCATTGTGATGGCATCATTTTCTAGCATGCACAGGTGGGCAACATTGTATGCCATGAAGGCATCTGATTTCCATTGGAGGAGGAACTTGAACTGGTCAGGGGTTGCTTCTGAGGTGTGGCAGTTGCCATCTTGGATAGAGTGGGAAGAATACTGGATCTTCTCTTGTTTTGGATCTAGGTTGTAGAGCAAACAAGCAACATGGTGTATGACACAGGTGATTTCTGCACCATGAAGGAAGAGAACACAGAGCGCCATCTTGGTACTAGGCTGCTCTGGAGGCATTTGTAGTGCTAATTCTGATCCATCTGTCAAACCGGGAAAGGATGGAATGCATCTGGTGGGAGATTCTAAGGAAGTCAGAAAGGGATACTTTATGTTTGAACTTGTCAAAACAGGTAACATCTTCAAAACAAAATGCAATCAAAATGCCGTTAAAGGTTGCTTGGTCACCAATATTTTTGTTGCGGAGGAGGTTTGGGCATACTCAGACAGTTGGTGGCCATCAAGGAGGCGGATACTGTTTCAGTCTTCGCATGTTTTCCAGAGACTGTCACAGTGGGCTTGGGTGCCAATGCTATACTTTTCAAGGTGTTGTTCAACTGAGACAGTAGCCATGTGCTTTTGGGGGTTATGGAACTTGTCATATATTGTCCAGTACTATCCCCTTAATACTCTAACCGTATTCCCTTGATTGAGAGTTGCATTGGGTAAAAAGGACAAGGATATTGTGATTTTTATTACCACCCCATGTGAAGACTATGTGTTACATGAGAACCCCTTGTCCTTTTCATAGCCAGGAAATTGTCTTTTTGACAATAAGAACCTTCTCATTTTTGAAAAGTTCCCATTTGATTTTGGCGCAGAACCTTGGGATGCAAAGCCGTCTGACTGTGATTTTGATCAGATGCATCTTTGTTTTGCAACCCACCAGATTTTTCTTTGAAGGACATCCAACAGACTTCCTGAAGAACACCCATTCCAGTGACAGGCATCTGGCAGCCTCTTTTTTTCTCACTGTCCATGTCATCCTATCAAATGGCCAACTCCTTGGAAGGACAAGATCCTTGTCAACCTATGACAACTACAATGCCCCACAAAACAGAGCTTCCTTTCTTTTGAAAGAACAGTCAAAGGTGATTGAAGGGCATACAAATTTTTGAAGTATTGGAAAGATTCTTTTGATTTGACAATTCAATGATGATATATTGACGAGGCTAGACCTCTGCAAACATACTTTCCAATGCTTCAGGAAGGACAGCTAATAATCCATCAGCACTAGGTGCCCAAGGGAAAATGCCTTGTCACTTGCCGTGAAGATGTTGCTGACCATATCCTCCTGCTTCCGCACATCAAATTTGGTATGTGTGCAATTGATTGATGGCATGATCTGTTTCACTAGGTAATGAAAGGATTGGTACTGTCTCGTCCTTGCTTGCAAAACTTTTGTGCCATCCGTTGTCAGGCAGTCTCAATATCAACAACCACAACTCCTGTATCCAACAGTTGCACCAGTGTCCTTTTCCAGAAGATTGACCACCAAGCTATCTGATGGGACTTTGTCAAGCTTCAGGTCATCTGGTAGTACATGGAATTTGCAGAACAAACAAGGGTCAGGTACCAGCAGGAGACTTCTTCCAATTTTTGAAAAAGTGAAATGACTTACTTAGAAACTTTGATCTTGCAGCATTGTGACAATTTAGTCATAATGCCCCCATCCGTGCTTTGGGTCCACCCGTTGGTCTAACCTCACCAAATCTGACCCCACAGCCAACTTGCATACGTCCTTGTTATGCACTTCAGATAGTGGGAACCTTGCATTAGGAAAAATGCGTTTCCCAACAAGCTTGTTCAAATTCATTTGGATCATCTCCTAGCAGTAGAATCATAGTATGTAATTACAGAATTATCTGGGCTGGTGAAATTTAGTGTAGAATGCAATATAAAATGTACCAAAATGTAAATTATGGTGCACAAGATGATACTTTGTTAGTTGGATTTGGCCTCAATTGCATCGCAGTTATGTTGAAGCAATGCAAACATTTTGTCCAGACCCTGTGCCCAAGGGAATCTATAATTTTAATCATTGACCCCATCAGACTGCCCCCCCTTCTTCTTTGTGAAGTAGTTTGTCACCCAATGCGTCACCAAGACCGCCTTGCTTTTTGATGGAAGCAGTGGTGCAAAATGCACACTTTCAAGTTTATGGGATCTTTGGATTCCGTAATTAATCCCTCTAAAGAACTCCGTGCCTTCTTTGTTAGTATCATTCATGACCTCTTTTTCCCAAGTATTTTCTGACATCTGCAACTTCTGGAGACTTGTCATCTCCTTCAACTGCATTACCATGAACAAGTTTCATGTTTGGTGGCAATATAATTTTTAATCCAAGTGAAGCAAGACTCTCTCACTCTGCATTTGTTTGCATCATTGCAATTTCACAACAATGCAAACAAAGTCTTTTTACTTCAATTTTCAAGCCCAGCCATAGTCATTGTCATTCAAAGCTGAATACAACGTCTGGATGTTCATTGGTATGTTGTGAAATGCCAGTTTTTCCAACTGAGTGAGTTGTTTCAACTCACGAGCAAGAGTCTCCATCACCTGTAGATCTTCACCTTTGTTGCTAATAAACAATTCTTGATTCACGTCGTTCTCAAAATATTCCAGTGTTTTTAGATTTTGGATTGTATGATCGTCCTGCAGAATAAGGCCAAGATCAGATATCACGATGTTTCCCAATATAAGAGTGTGGGATCTCTTGGCACTAGAACAAAGGAAATCCAAATCGTCAAATCTGCACCAGTACCCATCAAGTTTGATGAAATACAGTTGCCGTGTGGTTTTCTGTTGATGTGGTAAGCATGTCACGTCAGTTTTTGGTACTTTCTCTCTACGGATTTTGACACACCTTGCTGACTACGTATTTGCAAATATTCACAGCCTGAGAACTTTTCAGTATTAGGAGGGATCCGCTACATCGTCAGAGTACCAGACTTTCCGTGGCCTCTTGGACCGGTTTGAAAATTCAAACTGAGTCCTGTCAGCATACCAGCTACAAACATTCCACAAACATCAATCATCCCACAACCATCTTTCTACATCTCCAAATTTGACTATGGAGCTGCTGAAGGTGCTGCCGGATGCATTGGCGATGATTTGAGTGTCAGACAAATACAGATTGACAAAAAGGACAATCCAATATACCAGAATAATCCTATTTTGAACAGGAATCCAACCATAAATGGGCTATTTCCAATTGTTATCAGCTTCAAAATGGGATGACTGACCATTTGGGCTTCTCCCGTCTCTTGAGCAAAATGAATGCTCCCACTCTTGGTAGCGACAAGGCTCTTTCCGGATGTTGGTATGGGACTACACAAAGAAACCTAAATCCAGTCTTATTCAAAATGGATCCTTTGTTAGTATCGTCTGGAATTTACTGGGCAACTTTTGTTCCACTGCAGGGATGCTTTTCCCTTGTCTTTGTGGTACCAAAATGTGACAACATTTCCAATCAGTCCCATCCTGGTCTTGAAGCATTTTGGGATTGGAAAGAAAGATTGGACAAGGGTAAAAAGATGGTACTGAATCAAATGCTATTATTGTTTGAGAATGTGGCAAAACGGGAATTGAATATTCCGGATGTTGACCTTCTACACTTTTGGTGCACCCCAGGTGAAGCATACACATTTCCATGTCAAGAATGGAAACGTTGCACCATCATTGAAAATGATAAAGCATCTCAAGAAGACATGATGTTGCATCCAATTGCCAAAAGCTCAAGTGGCGCCGATGATGGCAATGCTGGTGATGATGGTGATGATGATAATGCAGTAGTCTCAAATGATGATGATGAGCATGGGTGTTAGAATAAAGCAAAATGTGCTCTATTGTGAGTGTTTTTAGCGCTCAGAACAAACTCTCTGCAATCTAAATTGGTAATTGAATGTACAACACTTTCATGACAATAGTTCTCCTGTGTTAGGTATACTTTGAGTGAAATTGTTTCTATTTGATTAACCCTTTTGCGAACAGAATTCAAATCTGAGAGTTTCTCAGATTTGATTATTGTACATTCTACCGGTACATACGTCAATCAATATTTTGGTCCAATTTTGGATACCTTGGCTTTTCACATCTGAGAATTTCTCAGATTTAAAAAAAATTGCACGCCAGCCTGCCAAAGGCCAAAATTAATTAAATCTGAGAAATTCTCAGATTTGAATTCGGACCAAAATCACAGACAACTTGCCATCAATTTTTATATATCATTCATGTCATATATATTTTTTGAATTTTTGTTGTTGGAATGCATGATCTCACGGTCAAACAACCAAAGGTGCGCCATATATCTCCCCAAAACCATTGAATATTCAGCATCATGCTTGGATGATACTATAAAGGGAGAAGAAACCCACCAAAACTTCTGCTAGTAGCACCTTGCAACCATGGCAGAAGATCTTGCCAATAGAAGCATGCGTGGACTCGGTTCTTGTGTTTGCTGGGCCAGAGGCTCCACCTTATTGTGGCAATCATTGCAAGGCCAGTAGAGAAGTGCTCACCAGATAGGATGAACAAAGGACCTAAACCTAAAACATTTGTATGGGAATGATTTTGATTTTAGGCCTGGATAAGGTTTTGGATCATCAGTCTTCCGACAAAAAAGTACGAAAATGATATGTTGAGCGGCGGACGGACCGTGGCGCATATCTATGGTCACCACACTATAATAAGCAAAGAAGCAGCAATCAAGCAGTTACTAAGGGAGTGGATCCACCAAGTATACTTCTAAGTAAGAACAGTTTGGATCCAAAAAACAACTTGTCAAGTGACTAACAGACTACGAACAAGTCTGGCTAAGAAACACAGTGACAATATACATGAGCGTTGAATCTGCAAAGACAACAATACTCAAGATATGACAATTTGCAAAGACACAGCAAGTCCAACTTCAATGTTGGAGATAATTAATATTCACTAGTGTATTGAAGGACACTTTCAACAAAGAAGAAAGTGTCAATGTCAGCCGACAATGCACAGTGGTCAATGGGCTACTGGAAGAAGAAATGGATCAAAGATGAGGATGCTGACCTACCAGGTGCGTTACATAATATTGTTGCCAAGGGACTCTGCTTATGTAAGGGAGCCCAAATAGATGCTATATTGATACCACTGGTGTCACATTTGTGTGGGCCAGTCAAGCAAGATTGATCTGAAAGGACATTATAGGCTTCATTGTGAAGTACATGCAAGACCATATTCAAGAATGCTGCTACTACAACTACCATCAGTGTCAAGACGCTGAGACTAATGAAGTGGTATGTGTATACATTCTTTGTTATACATTCAAGTTTCTAAGAGCTACATTGTTAATAGCAATAAGTGCAACATTTGAAACTAATGTACTATCTCCATGAAGAGATCTGAGTCAACCACAAGAAGCAGAGCTACTGAAGACAAACTAATTGGTGTCAATAGGTGTCACTAAGACTGACAAGCCACTACTACTATAAGTCCATGGACAAGGAAAGGTGTCATGGAATCATAGTTCTGCCTGATCAAGAGTGATATCCTTGAAGAGGACAATCAAGAGGTGTCGCTTAAGTGATGTCAAAGAAACAGAAACTAAACCGCAGAACCAGTATGGAAGCAAAACTGATTGCTGTTGACAATGTTGTCACAATGATACTATGGACCAAGTTGTTCATGGAATGGCAAGGTCATCCAATCAAGAAGAACATCTTGTATCAGAAGTTTCGCAAGTTCAGAGATCTGATTCTTGGTCCACAGCACTAGCACTACGGTTTCGCGCTAGGGAAATCTGACATTGACACAAAGTGACATGCCGGCGCGATATGGCTTGCCTTTTGTTCGTATGAGTCGAACCTGTTGGGTTGGATGTCCGTCTGGCCTGCCTACGTTTGACTTGACAGAAAAATGTATGGTGAAATGGTGAAAAAAACTGTACCTGGCACCTTCAATGAAATAAAAAAACTATGCGGACGTCAGCCGACTTCTGCAAAATATCTTGCAAAACTAATACCGCGATAATAATATCTTGTCAAACGCTACAATACACCATTCCTTGTTTGGTTTAGTAGGGATTTATCAAAATGTTTTCTCAGAAACTAATTAGATACAGTAAGAAATAACAATGGCACCATATCCTCATTAGTATGCCAACAACTAACTCGTCTGGTGGCAAACAAAGGTAAAGTAGGCTCCGACATCTCTGAAAATGCCCGAAACTACATCCTTCGCAGTAGGGATCTGATTGAAATTTCCTCTTTTGATGGCTGGGCCACTTTGCCCCGAGTTTGGACTGTCTTCCTTAGATGGGGAGAAGAATTGCCGTACTTTCTTCATTGGCTTAGATGAGGAGAAGAACTGCCGTGTTTTGCTGCTGCTGTCGCCGTCGCCTTTGTTGAAACCAGCGGCGCTGGTATGGAGATCCACTAGCCCCAATCGGTCTCCGACTTATTCATTTCCCTCACTTCGTCTTTCTGCATGTAGTAACTCTTCGACAGCTGCTTTTCAAAACGTTGTCTGATGGCATAAAGGTGTACCACTTGTCTGAGATTCTTGATCGACGTCTTGATTGTCTGGCGTATTGTAATTCAACATCTGCGGAAGACGAAGCTCCGGATTGGAATGCTGCAAATGCACCTGCGGATAGGGGAAAAGGGCAGAACTGCAAGTAGGGATATCGTCAGCCACTGGAACATCACCCAACAATATGTTATCTCGTGCTGCCAAGCAAAGATTAATTGTTGAAAGGACGAAAACTTTTGAAAACTGCTGGCATTTCCTCTTTCCAAACCATTCCATGCGAAATGTTTCACATTTGTTTTTTCAAAGAAATCTTTTAGGAAATCTTTGTAGCTCTTTTGATTCAAAATCAAGTCATCCAATTCCTTGCGATGTATCTCAGTCTTCAATTGAATATCATGATGTTGCAAGTGGATAGATTCTTGGTCGACGACTGTCAAGGACAGAACTGCCCTTGTACAACAGCGAAACTTGTGGTCTTGGTCTTTTGCAAGAAGGTTATCGACTTCTTCTTTCCCTCTTGGGGTTTCAGCAAATTCACGGAGCTCGTTTAGAAGATTTTCTTTTTTTACTGCCAATTTTTGGTGGCATTGGAGCAACGAGCAGATGTTTGGAGCAATAGTTCATGGCATTGTGTTGTTTACGACGATAGAATCTATCGAATTGCATATACTGATAAAAATAGATCATTGTCATGCTGTTTGTTGAAGCTAAGGTATCAACTAAAGCCTGAAGAAATTTAAAACAAGTTCGAATTTTCCTAGGTTGGACCAAAGATTTGTGACCAAGTTGTTGTGCTGATGAAGTCCCTTTACAGTCGAAGTTGTTGTCGGAGAAACATTGAGGTGAAGACGTAGCGCGCCAGCCCTCCAGCTCAATGTTTCTCCGAAACCGTAGTGTAGGTCAGACAAGTATGTAGATGTTCAAATGAAAATACAAAACAAAATAAACAATGAATGAGAGCCTGTCCCACTGCTGCCAATGGTGATTGTCACAATTGCAGGAGTGTGATGGGATATGACAAAATATGCGTTTTTGTGTTCTGAGAAATTCTATTCAAGTACAAAGTTTTGACACACACAATTGAAATTTGATTGTGATGTCAGCACATTTGATGCAAGACCACCGGACAAACAATATCCACATGCAAATAAATTGACCCAAAACAAGTGGCATATCAACGTTGTTTACGATGCAGCAGGGAATATTACCAAATGTCCCAAAGTACTGTAGTCCACAGAGGATCCTTGTAGAAGTCGGATTGAATTCTGTATGCAAGGGATTTCACTTTTGTGAATAAATCATCAATCCAAGCCAAACATTATTCAAATAGGAACAACTTCGCTCAAAGTATACCTAGTACAGGAGAACTATTATTGTGAAAGTGTTGTACAGTCGATTACAAATTTAGATTGCAGAGAGTTTGTTCTGAGCACTAAAGGCAGTCACAATAGAGCACTGTCTGCTTATTTCTAACATTCAATCACAAAAGGCATGATAAAAGCAATTTGTTGAGACAGCACTGCCTTATCAAGAGATGAAATTGAAACCGTTGAAGAACAAGTTGAAATCTGGTATTTGTACAAGAGAAGGAAGTTGCAATACTACGGACATCAAAACTATCCATGAAGCACAGCACAATCTATGTTTCCAACAGATTTGAATGAGATGAAAGCTGATTATGAAGAGCATGACGCTATTCTGATCGCTTGTTGCCTCAAACTTATATGCATGATGCTAAGGAAGGAGAACATCGTATCTACATGAAAATCACTGGCATGATGGTCCAGATATTGATTGACATGGCCCCAGAGTATCGCGAATACGTTGTATTAGAGAACCGGAAAGCAAGTAATCTATGTGCGGGTACTACGTGCTATATATGGGATGTTGCAATCAAGCCTCCTATCCTATATCAGTTTCAAAGTGATTTGGAGGCAAAGGGATTTGTTTTCAATCCGTATGACCCGTGTGTTGCTAACAAAATTGTTAATAAAAAACAGCAAACTATCAGGTTTCATGTTGACGATCTTGTGTCAAGTCACATGAATCCAAAGGTAAATGACAAATTTGCCAAGTGGTTGAACATGAGATATGGTTTGATCAAGGCGTGCACAGTCGTCAGAGGAAAGATACACAGATATCATGAAATGACTTTGAATTTCTTGGTGAATGGAAAACTCAAGATCTGCATGGACGACTATGTCAAGATCATGTTCAAGGATTTTCCTATCAAGTTCATCAAGGATTCAAAGCAGGAACCACCAGCTGGTAACGATTTACTGCAAGCTGGTAAAGGGAAGTCACTTAGTGCTGAGTACCGTAAGATTATGTCTCTAAGAGAGCTCTTTTGGATATCCATCCAATGATTACTATTCTTGCCTTGAGAGTTCAAGAACCCACAGAGTCTGATTGAAGAAGTGTGTGTGTTTGATGCAATATTTGTGTTGTACATTGTTGTATCACCTGACACTTTCTGCAGAATCACTATGAGTTATAAAATGGATGCTAGACACATCATTTGCTGTGCATCCAGATTTCAAGAGCCATACTGAGCATGTCCCATTGCTGCCAATGGTGCAGGAGTGCGTTGGGATATGACGACATATGAGTTTTTAAGTTCCAAGAAAAACTATTCAAGTACAAAGTTTTGACATGTACAATTTGATTTTAATCGTGATATCAGCAATTTGATGCAAGTCTGTCAGACAATCTATATCCCCATGGAAAGGGAATGACCCTATACAAGTGTGATATCGATGTTGTGTACGATGCTGTAGCAAATATTACAAGATACCCCAAAGTACTGTATTCAACACAGAGTCCTCATAGAACTCAGATTGAGTTGTGTAAACAAGGGATTTTCCAAGGGAAATTTGTTGAACTCATTTTTGTGATTGAATCATCAATTCAAGCCAAACATTAATCAAATAGGCTCAAAGTATACCGAATACAGGAGAACTATTGTCGTGAAAGTGGTGTACAGTCGATTACAAATCTAGATTGCAGAGAGTTTTTTCTGAGTGTTTAAGGCGCTCACAATAGAGCACATTTTGCTTATTTCAAACACAAAGAAAGTGTGAAACAATGGATTTACAAAATGAAATGCAAATAAAAGCCAACAACCAGCCTCTGGCAAGATCCTATTGAGCGTTCTGAGGGTCATGTGAGTATATCTTGGTCTCTGAGTATATCTTGGTCTCATACAACTTATGAATAACCAATAGCTTGGTTTGTAACTTTATTGGAGCATTCCTTGATGAGTTGTTGACTCCTGCAAAGCACCCCAGAGCTTAGAAGGCTATAACTCACAAGCAAACGGTTGCAACCTGGACAGGATTAAAGCTAAGAAGTTTTATATGGGTTAAATTTATACTACTGGTATCAAGTAAGATACAGTTCTGGCCTCTCCACTTTCTTGTAGGGCTGAGTTGCCGACAAACTGTTGATAGACTTGATCAAGATTGGAGCTAACTATCTACCCCAAAGATCCTATTTCAGGAGAGAGAATCAAGAACTAGGGGCACTGAGGCTCCCACAGCTGTTTGAGCAATGCCCAACTGATCTGATGATTTCCAATTTCAATATTCAACGAAAATTCTGCGTTCGCAGTGTCCTTGTTGAAACTCAAGATGATCATCCTATCTAGAAGCTGTGTCCACAACAAGAAGTCAAGATTGGCAATTGCAAGTCTATTGAATGCCAAGAATATTACTATGTGTTGAAAACGAATGTGAAGGTATTGTCAAGATTGGTCATTCCATTACAGTCAAATTCATCGACACCATTAAAACGTGTAGGATCTAGCCACAGATAATCCAATCACATCTAGAAATTCACTCAAAGGCAGACTCCGATAGGTGCTCCGTAGCCAGTCCCTTTTTGTAGGCAAAAACGTCACTCCATTCTGTTTGGCAACTGAAAGAAGTTTCGTACCCGCATTCTCTCAACAAACTACTAATTTTTGCACAAGAGTTATCGATCTCGTAAATTTGGCTTCCGTTCGGATTTGGACAGAAACATTCCGCCATTATGTGTACCACGAGATTGGAAGCCTGGAGTATATCTTTTACGTTTCTAAGAGCAGAGAGTTCGTATCCCTGCATGTCCATCTTGAGGCGGAAAATGGACGACCGCTTCTTGACAATGCTTAAAAACAACACACGCGCTTCCAGGACGAGAACAGTGCGCTTTGAAAGAACCTTGAGTGCTTCGTGGCTGGTACCAGGCGCGACGTGAGCCAGAGATGACGAGACACCTTCTTTGTTGTATACGTTGAACGTAGCAAAGCCTGTGTAGTTAGATACTGCCAAGCACAATGATGTTACCCTGGAGACTTCTTTCGAATTTTTTTCGCAAACTTGAAAAAGCGGATCAACCAAGAGGCGATATCGACCATTAGACCTCATTGGACTCACATTTGTCCCGATATTTACATCTATTTCTTCATCAATCGGAATGAGCTCATCATGAAATTCATTAAAATGAATCATGGTTCTGCTGTTTGTGTAGTCTGTGTGGCAACTCGGTATTCTCGCAAGCAAAAGCGAGTGTATAGAGAGCAACAGAAAGATGAGGAATACAAAAGCAGTTGAATGGGTTACTCGTGGCATTGTCGAGGCACAGATGTTCAATAATGTGAAAACTGAGATGTACCAAGGATAGAGGATGTAAAACAATTAAGCTATTTATTTAGTATATATTTTCGTTTTGCTCTGTGTCGCACCTTGTCGCAGTTGACGACAATTTGAACTCATGTTCCTTTTTTCGCCGACTCAATCGACCCAACGTTTGACAATTCCTTTTCAAGATGGTGGAGCAGATTATACTAGGTACTGGTACCGTAGACCCCTTGAACACCCGGCAGAACGATGATTTTTGTCATTGTTCGAAGAGCGGACAGACCTTCTACAGTCATTTTCGAAATCCATGTGATCACGTGGGATAAGAAGAATAACTCATACTTAAGAGCAAAAGCTAA